CTGTTTCAGTGTCTGTGTCTGGGCTTTAAAAACAGTGGGGCGGGGTGCATAACGGATTTTACTGACGCCCAGGGAAGAGAAGGTCCAGCTGCAGTGAGTGGATTTCTCAACTCTGGACTGACAATGACATCCGCCCTCCGAAACTGTTTTTCAAGCACTGCTTCTCAGTATTTTGAACAGCACTTTTCGTACTGTAGGATTTCACTAAATATATTTTTTAGAATGCTGTTTTTCATTAGGATAAAGACTTCTTATGTTTACGAGTATGGTTCAAATGAGATTATTGGTATTTGAAAATTACAAAAAAAGTAAATGTAGCTCATTCAAGATGATGGTTTGCTCACTACCTCAGAGTGTTTCTGTAATTTTAGTGGAAGTGTGTGCCATTAATAATTGACTAATCTGTCATTAGAAGAGGACCTTATCACCTCATCTTCTATTGTTTAAGTGAATTAATTTTGGATACTTAAAGTTTCTTTCAAAGCTTTTCTTTCATAAGAGAGGTAAAATCAGTACACGTATGTGTTGGATGTTTTCTAGTTTGAGTGTATAACTGGGGAAAAACAAGGAAGAAGAGGGTAATAAAATGAGAAAGCAAAAAGTATTTCTTCAGACTTACATGTAGTCGTATCTCTTTGACCCTTTTGGAACATGAGGAACATGTTGAAATAGCAAGAAATAGCAATAAAAAAATTCCTTTTTGCCTTGCAATCAAAGCAAATCATGGTTGTCTTTGGAAAGGCGCATTTGCTAGTGAAACAATAGGCGAGGAATAAGGTCTGTTAAGCTGAAAGTATGCAAACGAATGATAGCCTGGAGAATGAGCTGGAGAATAGAGAATCTTGGAGGCAAGTGGTGCATAACTCTGGCGGGTATAGGCATTGGAATTCCTAATCCCTCAAAGTTAAGGAGAAGCGAAGCACCTTTGGTCCTAGAGAGCCCTGTGTGTAGCATGCCTGCAGTCATTTGTAACCTTCTACAAATTAAAAACCTCTGATGATCTGAAAAGTAGTATGTTTAGAAAAAGGAGACCAGAGAGCAAGAAACAAATACTCTGAACAAAAATCTCAGAAGAGAGAAGTAGCGAGACTCAGCTCCCGTAACGCTGGTTCGTTTGTTTGGCTCTCGTCTGGTTTCCAGTTGGAGAGAAGGTGGTTAAAAGGGTACTGACCCAAGAGTAGTAAGAATGGGACACTCCTCAAAGAAGTGTTCCCATGATCAAACTGAGGCTAATTTGGGAAATTAAGATAATTTATTGTGAGACTCCTGTGTTGCTCTTAAATGCTGCTTGCTGGTAGGGCACAAGGTAAAGCAGAACTATCTTCCTCCCATCACCTTACTCATGCAGCCCACTCACATCCCAGCAATTCTGGCTTTTGGCCTCAGGAGCTTGGAAGTAGGTTACATGGATTGTCTAATGCTACTGTGGAGTTGTTGAGAGAAGAACGTGCGTGTGACTGAGTATTGCAGCTCACTCTGCCCTGCTACAGTTGCTCTAATAAATTTTTATTCTGAATGAAATTCTGCATGGAGGGAATTGATAGAGACACAAGGAGGGATACAGATAGCAGAAATCCTTCCTTCTCTCCCACATAGATGCCAATATCTGTGGGCGAAAAAGAATGACAACTAGGAACAAAGGGAACTTTTGTATTTACATCAGTAGAGAGCAGTGAAATTGAGTTTTAGAATCTGCTGAACCACTTTACCCCATAACTTCTCATCGTAGAACATTATGTCCCCCCAAAGTTGCCCCATGAGTTGATTTTTTAATATTTAAGGAGAATTATAATAAATCAGTTTTATATAGATTTATCTATCCAAATCTTTACTAATAATAAAACATTTTCTGAATATTCAACTTGCCATGTATCCTAAAATACTTAAATAACTAGAGCAAAAGAAAGTCATTGAAAACATGAGAGTTCACACAATTAGATTTGCTTCTGTTAATTTTTCCCAACTAAATAAAAGTGAAAATCTTCAGTTTTATTCAAGAGAAAGAAAACATAAAGAAGGACAATCGAAGGCAAGGAAGGAGGGAGGGAGGAAGGAAAATAAAAAGGGGGAAGGACAGAAGGGAGAAACCAAGGAATAGGCATTTATTGAGCACCCACTATGATTCAAAGCGATGTGAGAGACCTTTATTAAGCATTCTCTCTCTTTTGTTCATGTAATCCTCACAATGACTCTATGGACCCCATTTTATTTTTGGAGGAGAAAGCAATAAATTCAGTCATATTGTATTTGACATTTATGATGAGATATCGATGCTAGGAAGGCAAAATAAATCCTCCCACAAAACTTGGCACAGACATTGCTCTATAGGAATTTTCTTTCAAAGGCTTGGTTTTGATCCATAACCATTACATTTCCTGGCACTAGATATGGGTCTGGCCCTGGAAAGGGGAAGCTCTGCGGATTGGCTCTTCTCCGTAGTAAGTGATGAGTGGCTCTTAGCAGTTAAGTGCAGGATTCTGTCTGCTTTGGGAACATTACCTGGGTTCATGTATAGTGCTGTTACAGGCAGCAAGCCTGAGTTAGAGTTTTCCTGGATGACCTTCAGGTAGATTATAAAAAAGAAGAAGTAAAGAAAAGAGAAAGAGTCTGGCATCTTTTAACTCTATTAACTCTGGTCTGGAAGTGGTTCTAGAAGAATTAGCAATAGAAAGAAAAATTGGAGCCATTTGCTACATAACTGTCGGATAAATTTTATGATTTCTGAACATTTCTAGTGCTTAAAGACAGGATGAAATATAGACAGTCATAGCACCTCTTTTCCAGCTAGCTTGAAAGAAGTATTTTTTTTTTCCTCTCATTTCCTTGGTTCATTTGCAACTATCTCTTGAGGTCTTAAACTGCTCACTCCACTCTTCCTAAGAAATCCTAGTGTTAAGGATCTGCTGTTGAGCAACGCAGTTTCAGCTCACAGTTAATTACATATAGTTTTAAAGCAGTCTACCAGTCTAAAAATAAGCACTGTCGGCATTTCCTGTGAATATAGTTATTAGACAAACTTAAAAGATTACTAGGTAATCAAGATTAATGACAGAGTCTCCAAAACAAACAGAAGACAAAATCACGTATATTCTTTACTATCTTCATTTTGGCATTGATGTATTTATTTTGGGCAACTTGCATTGGCAATGGCAGGTACATGTGGTCCCTGGCTCATTGGTGTGGGAGGTAGCCAAAGGAAGGGTAACAGAGAAGATGGAAAATGAGATTAGAAAAAAAGCATGGCTAAGTGGATAAAATGAGACATGATAGCATCTTAAGTGGCTAAATCTGAAATTACTTCTTTTTCTTGACTGGAGTAGTCATAGTATTGTGAGTGTCAAAGAAGTAGGTAAAAAGGACCAATGCGTCTGTGGGAAATAGTTTAAGAGAAGAATAACAATGTAGATCTCAATATTTTTAGGCTGTTTTTGAAGGGTGAGCCCTCATAAAGCACTGACATTTTTTATCCTTATTAGTCTGTTATAATTCATTGATAGATTGCAGCTCAAAACTATGTTTGGAACAGTTTACCACTTGGATGTGCATGTTCAGAACAGTCTGATAAAAGTAAAATTAATCTTCAATGTTTATCTTATATTTGGGACACGAAATATGCAGCCATCTTCTGCACCAAAAAATGGGGCTTGCTGCCTGGTTGTGTCGGCTTCATTCCACAGCACCAGGAACCAAGCAGCTATAGACCCTGGGGGCACTTTTCTTGTAATTAGCATAAGCCGCCACCTGGTAAATTAACACATTTCAGTCATGGCCTAGAAACCTGAAGATACAGACTTTTAATAGACATAATTATCTTAGATGGTGGTTTAAACATCTTAAATATGCTTTTATACCCACTAATAAAGCTCTACATCTTTTTTTTTTTTTTTTAAGTATGCTCTACACCCAACTTGAACTCATGACCCCAAGATCAAGAGTCGTCTGCTCCACTGACCCAGCCAACCAGGCACCCCATATGACTTTCTTAATAAAAATTATTTTTAGTAGAGATCAGACCAGTATCTGATGGAAGATGTTTAAGTTTTTCAGACTATCTCGTATGCCATATGTCATTTAATCTTTCTAATAAACCTGTATCTTCCACTTTAACATAAATAAACTAAATCTCAGAAATTTTAGATGACTTACAACAGAGTTACCAATCTGGTATTTTAAATCACATCTTCAAATGCTAAATACACATACCCTAAATGCTAGAAATCTATTTCAGTCACTGCTTGAGGTGATCAAGGATTTCCTTGCAAAATGAGCAAGCTGTTTTTTTCAGTGCTCTGTATTCGTTAGCCTAAACAGATTTGAATATATGGTCCATTCAAAGAAAAAGAGAGATGAATTTTAACATGTGGTTCCCAGGATAACTTTGCTGTTTTTACATTTTACTTGATGAAGTAAAATAATAAAGATATTTTTATGATTTAGTTTGTCTTTTTTTTTTTTTTGCTGATACATCAGTTCCAGATCGACTACCAACTCGGGTTTCTTATTAATACAATAATCCCATTTGGCATGGGCTTGAACTCTGAATATAAAATTGAGACTGTAGTCCAACACCGTTTCAGCACTTTAATTCGTAGAAACATATAATCTGGTTACATCAAAACAGGACTAATTCTGTTGCAGTAGAATCTACCACAATTGTGTAGATAATGACCATACAGTTGAATTTCATACCACCACTCTTAGTCACAAAATTAATTCCATCTTTAGATTAGTTAGTTAAAAGAATGCTTACATTTCAAGTATGTATTTAATTTTGCTGTCTGATTTCGGAAAGGGGAGAAAAAGCCTTTGAACAAAACTGACTTTTTGACTGTGCTAGTTCTTTTTAAGCAGATTGTTAATCATCTCCTCTCTTCTTTTAAGGATAGTATTCTTATAGTTTGTTTATGTCATGGCTCTTAATAAGATGATAACGTGTTTTCAAAAAGCAAATGGATTTGGAACTCTTTCTTGTTATGTTTATATTAGGCTTTATTTTAAAGGCAAGTGAGACTGCTTCAAATAAAACAACTCCAAGCTTTCAAGAAACAGTTAAGAAGGCAGAGACAAGCAGAAATACCCTTCACTAACACTCACACGGTTGCCATGGACCTGCATAAGCAATGGGAGAACACAGAGACTGACTGGCACAAGGAAAAGATGGAATTACTGGACCAGTTTGACAGTGAAAGAAAGGAATGGGAGAGTCAATGGAAAATCATGCAGAAGAAGATAGAAGAGGTACAAGTTGATTTGTTTTGAATATATTGAACCTTAAAGCTGAGAATAAAAATTCTGTTTCAAATTTGTTGTATTGGAAACTATTTCTATTTTCCTTATTCTGCCTAAAGAATGCATGTCTCAATGACATTTGCTGGATCAAAAATAGCAGAACCTTATCCAGTGGTATCCAAGGGACTATGCTTTGTTGTAGCCCTGCATGAAAATTAAGAACTTAAAATGTCATTCTAAAGTATATCAATTTATTCCTTGGCTAAAGTGCCTTGGTATCAAAAGTGAGGTATGTGTTTTGCATGAGTTTTCAAACACAGGGTCCAGGAGGAAAATCTAAGAAAGGCATAACTGGTGGAACATATATTAGCAAAATTACAATTGGGCATTAAAATACAGATCTTTCTTGAGATGATTTATGAATGATATCTACTAAAGGAAATTACATATTAGATAGTTCAGTATAATCAAAAGGAGTGCCATATATCAAACAGAAAATGGCAGTGGATGTGATATTTATTCTGGCAAGATGGGACACATTTATTGGCACATTTGTTAGGAAAGGGGTTATGAAAAACGACATGCCATGACTCTGATACAAATAGCCGTTTTATCACCATTAACCATCCCTCAGCTTGTTGGCCCTGGAATATTTCCTTTAAGTATTTACATTGATGTATTTTTAAGCTTGTTTCAACTGAAAATTATTTATACTTATCTTGCTTTCTTCTAGTGACATCGTGATATAATATGGTTTGTGCACATTACTAAAGTGATTATTTTTAACCGACTCTTTGACCTTTGTTCATAGGCAATCAAACACATGATGCTTTATGTGTTTATAGTGCAAATATTTTTCTCATTAACAGCCATGTAGTTGGCTGTGAATAAAATATAAATTGGCATGCTACAAGGAAGAATTAAAAAGAGTAGCTATTAAACTGTTTCTCTAACACAGAACTGAGAGAGCATGTAGGTAGTGCATGGTTATATTAAAAGGAGACTCCACTGCTCATACCTCTAAAGTTTAGAAAATATGTTTTGCTTACTCTCAACTCCTTACCTAAAGACTAAGATTGCATCAACAAGGAGATGTCTAAGTCAAATCAGAATCCAGAATTCCAAACAGAATCCTGAAATCATGGTCATTGGTTCCCAAAGGTTTGGAAGGCCAGTTAGTAACATTCAGATAATTCTAGCATCAAAGCAAAAAAATTCAAAGGAGTCGGGACTAGTGTAGTCAATTGTTTAAGCCACGTAACTAAAATGATCTGCTCTCTGGTTAAATATTTTAAGGTCATATAATTACTCTGACAATTCTGTAAATTCTGTCTATGGTAAATATTACCCTTTTTGATTAGCAGGCATTAAACACATTTTAAACATAGGATGATACTTTGTAGAAATGCTGTTCCTTTCTGCATCAGGGAGATATAAAGGTGTAATATTTTTTTTTCTTTATCTTGAATAGTAACTGTAAGCTATCTGAAATATACAGCTCCATTACTGGGGATATGTTTGGATAATGTGCTTACCCCAGAAGACCCATAGACAATGCTTTTTAATACCTGATACTAACATTGTGCTCCCCTTATCATATTAATATATATTTTTCTACTTCCAGCTTTGTAACCTGTGATAATGTAATTTTAATAGGGGCGCCTGGGTGGCTTAGTTGGTTAAGTATCCGACTTTCGCTTAGGTCACGTTCTCGCGGTTCGTGGGTTCGAGCCCCGCGTCGGGCTCTGTGCTGACTGCCAGCTCGGAGCCTGCAGCCTGTTTCAGTCTGTGGCTCCCTCTCTCTCTGACCTTCCCCTGCTCACACTGTCTCTCTCTCTCTCTCTCCTAGAAATAAATAAAAATAAAAAAAAATGTAATTTTAATATACCCATCTTGGAGTGCCTGAATGGCTCTGTTGGTTGGGCAGTCAACTCTTGATCTTGGCTCAGGTCTTGATCTCAGAGTCATGAGTTTGATCCCCACCTTGGGCTCTGCACTGTGTGTGCAGCCTACTCAAAAAATATATATATACTCATCTTATAGGCCACAGATGGGGGTAAAAAAATTTTTTGATGCAGACAAGAGGAAAGTATTTTCAGTATTTTCATATGTCACAGAGAAGCAAGACTTTTTTAAAACTAAAATTAAACATCAACACTTGAAAAGATTGTATAACATAACACAAGCATAACAGACTGTATTTGTTTAGCATATATAACTAAGTTCTGTGTATTTTTTTTTTTAATGTTTTATTTATTTCTTAGGAGAGAGAGAGAGAGAGACAGCGTGAGCAGGGGAGGGTCAGAGAGAGAGGGAGTCACAGACTGAAACAGGCTCCAGGCTCTGAGCTGGCAGTCAGCACAGAGCCCGACGCGGGGCTCGAACCCACGAACCGCGAGATCATGACCCAAGCGAAAGTCGGACGCTTAACCGACTAAGCCACCCAGGCGCCCCTCTGTGTATTAATTCCAACACAAGTTATTAAGTCATGTACTAGAGAATTGTAGATTCCCAAATGTGCACATGTAACCTTGGTGATTCCAAGTGATATCTTCCTTTTTTTATTAATTTTTTTTATGTTTTTATTTTAGTTTTGAGAGACAGACAGAGTGCTAGTGGGGGAGGGGCAGAGAGAGAGGGAGACACAGAATCTGAAGCAGGCTCCAGGCTCTGAGCTGTCTGTACAGATCTTGACACAGCGCTCGAACTCATGGGCTGTGAGATCATGACCTGAACCGAAATCGGATGCTTAACATTTAACTGACTGAGACAACTGAGCCACCCAAGCACCCCACCAAGTGATATCTTCTAGTGAGAGGTTCCAGCATTGCATATTAATGATCCTTTGCTCAGTTACTATCCACTGTCATTGCATTTACTATTGCAAAACCATTTGCTATCTATATACTTGAATCATTTGAAATCTGGACTAATTCAGATAGAAGTTCCAGTTACCTGGGAATTAGTTTTTAATGATGTTGCAATTTTTCTTGTTTGTTGCCTTTTTTCAAATAATCAGATAACCATTGACAAGTTTTTGGGTATGAAATAACACAGATTTCCTTATACAAAATAAATTTGTTTTTCATCAATAGCATTATATTATTTGGTTCTCCATACCTCACTTAAATCTGAAGGGAATTTAAGATGGGATATAAAATGTCATGTAAGGTAAAGTATTTCAAAATTAAAAAAAAAAAGAGAGATGAAGACAGGAGGATTTTACATGAATTGCATGCAGCTAGTCTTTCCAGTAACTAATGGAAAAATTACCAAATACATATTTCCCAATATTTAGAACACAAAAGCAAACATATTTCCCAGGAATAACACTTTTGTCCCTGATTTTGAAACTAAAGTAATTTTGTTTTTCAATCATAGCTCCTCAAAAAAAGGACAATGTCACTATAAGCATGCATCCTTAAATTTAATATGTACTTCTGTGGGTTGCTTCTTATGGTATCTCTCAAGATCAGCCAAAATCATAAGGCTCACAATAGCTCAGAACAAATATTTCATGAGGCCCAAAACAATTGAATCATGGCTGTCATTTGATGTTATCCTGAGATCATCCAATGATAGATATGTAGGTATCTGTAGAAATAAATGTACTGCATATCCTTCAGACATCAACTATGTTTAGTGCTTCCTCCATCTGAGATTTGGGTAAATATTGAGCAGCAATAAATCTGTTATTATATTCCTTGAATAAAAGATGTCTGTAGATACAGGTTGTGGCTGTAAAATGTAGTCATTTGCTTCAAAGGTTATCTAACAGAATCCTTTAAAATAGTCAAGCTTTGGTGTGCCTGGGTGGCTTAGTCGGTTAAGCGTCCGACTTTCGCTCGGGTCATGATCTCGCGGTTCGTGGGTTCGAGCCCCGCATCGGGCTCTGTGCTGACTGCCAGCTCAGAGCATGGAGCCTGTATCAGAGTCTGTCACTCCCTCTCTCTCTGACCCTCCCCTGTTCACACTGTCTCTCTCACTCTCCTAGAAATAAATAAAACATTAAAAAAAATTAAAAAAAATAAAATAAAATAAAATAGTCAAGCTTTCCCACAACGCAACCCTGAGGAGAAAGCCACTTATTTCCTCTAATTAGGGGTGAGTGAGTTCATGCCTACAGATTAAACTAAACTTTCATCAAGAAATAATTTGGGATTGGGACACCTGGGTGGCTCAGTTGGTTGAGTGTCCAACTTTGTCTCAGGTCATGATCTCACAGTTTGTGAGTCCGAGCCCCGTGTCGGACTCTCTGCTGTCAGCACAGAGCCCACTTCAGATCCTTTGTACCCCTCTCCCTCTGCCCCTCTCACACTCTCTCTTTCAAAAATAAACATTAAAAAAATAAACATTAAAAAAATCATTTGGGATCCACTCTAACATAGACTGATAGATGATAAAGCCTTAGAATTCTAATATCACATAGAACAGGGTCACATTTGTTTTAATCAGGGTGAGAAATCTTTTTCAAATGTGTATAGGCCTGCCATTAAAAAACTCAGTAATACGTAGTAAATACATCAGTAACACCAACATAACTTCCAAAGGAAACATCTTTTGATTTCACAATATCCACTTAGGGAATGAAATGAACTGACATACTATATGATATTGTCAACTATTTAGACACTTGAAGTTGGCATACAAGTGGAATCATGTATTTTTAAGCATTAACATCAGTTAAATTCTTGCTTTTCTCCAAAAGCAGTTAGTGAGTATGACTAGTATGCTCTCTCTCTTAAAAATAAATGTTACAAAAAAGAAATACTACTCCTGAAATCATTATTACACTATTTGTTAACTAAGTTAGATTTAAATAAAAAGAATTTAAATTTAAAATTTAATTTAAAAAGAAAAAAAAAGAAATCACTTAAACATAGACTGATAGATGATAAAGTACTGGAATTCTAATATCACATAGAACAGGGTAATATTTGCTTTAATAAGGGTGAAAAATCTTTTTTTAAATGTGTATAGGCTTGCCATTAAAAAAAGAATCTCAGTAATACCTAGTAATATCTCAGTAACATGAACCCAACTTCCAAAGGAAATATCTTTTGATTTCACAATATCCACATGATATTGTCAACTATTTGGCATACAAGTAGAATCATGCATTTTAATTTTTGGTTTTTTAAAATGTTTTTATTTATTTCTGAGAGAGAGAGACAGACAGCGTATGCAGGGGAAGCTCAGAGAGAGAGGGAGACACAGAATCTGAAACAGGCTCCAGGCTCTGAGTTAGCTGTCAGCACAGAGCCGGATGCTCGAACCCACAAACTGTGAGATCATGACCTGAGCCGAAGTCGGACATAACCGACTGGGCCACCCAGGCGCCCCGTTTCATGTATTTTTAAAACATCACTTTAATGTCAGTTAAACTCTTGATTTTCTCTGAAAACAGTTAGAGAGCATGACCAGTAATTGATTCAGGACCTTCCAACTTGGTAACAGTGCTTCACATCATAATGACATGTTTATATAGATACAAATTTTTTAAAATTTTTGATGAGTTGATTTCTACACAAAGATACAGAAATTGCCATCCATACCTTGACTTACTAAAACTAATCTTTATGGTTCATCGAAGTTGTTCTGGCTAATCACATTTTAGAAGCACCACTCAGATGCATGAACAGTAATACCCCAGAGGAGTGTGTCATGATCTAGCAAAGAAAACTCAAAATAGTGTGCTTTGTATCAAAAAAATTGACAAAAGAAATTAGGGAGAGAAAAAGTTTTATCTTTGTTTTCCTTACAGCTTTGCCATGAAGTAAAGCTTCGGAGGAAAATCAACATGAATGAACGTGCTAAGATCCTTGATCATGATCGTGAGAAAGCGATTCAAGATAAAGCGGTGGAAACTTCTCCAAATTACCCCAATTCAGGACAGTGCAAATTTACAGGGATGAATCACAGGGATGGTCTGGAAAAAGAAAATAAAACAGAGCAGAGCTTACTCCATGAAGGAAATCAAATGTGTAAGGAACAAAAAGCATCAAAAAAATCAAAAGTAGGGTTTATGGATCCTTTGGCCACAGATAACCAAAAAGCATGTGAGGCCTGCCCTGGCCTGAAGACTTCCAAGGTAGAGGGCACGAGCTGTTCTGGAGCCCTTAACACAGTAAGTAGGACTGGGATTGGCCTAGAACTGTTTCTAAAGAAATATTTACATCTCAAAGTGCTAACATGCTATTGCTTATCTGTATAAAGGCTCTGGAGGAACTTGCCAAAGTTAGTGAAGAATTATGCAGCTTTCAAGAGGAAATCCGAAAGCGGTCTAACCACAGAAGGTAGGCTGGTACATCTATGATTATTTTATATCAGGAAATAAAGAAAAATATTGTTTTCAGTTAATGAATCCCAACTGCCTCCTCCTTACACTTTGCTAGTAAGAATTAACAATGAGTTATTAAAACGTGTTATTTTAGATAGAAAATAAAAACCTTGGGGCGCCTGGGTGGCTTAGTCGGTTAAGCGTCCGACTTTTGCTTGGGTCATGATCTCGCGGTTCGTGGGTTCGAGCCCCGCGTCGGGCTCTGTGCTGACTGCCAGCTCAGAGCCTGGAGCCTGTTTCAGTCTGTGACTCCCTCTCTCTCTGACCCTCCCCTGCTCACGCTGTCTCTCTCTCTCTCTCCTAGAAATAAATAAAACATTTAAAAAAAAAAGAAAAAGAAAATAAAAACCTTAATTGAATATATCTCTGTTTACTAACTTTTAAACCAAATCTCATTCTCTTTGTAATTTGACTTTTAGGAATACTATACTCTTTTGGTATTTGGGTGAAGATATAGTATGCATAATAAATTAACAAGTATCTTCTAATGTAGTTCTTTTTCCTTTTGAGTGTTTGGCCATTGGAAGAATATATAGCTGGGTAATTAAATACACCTACAAAGCATGTCAGATTTAACAATGCGGAATTTTAATTATATAATGATGTTCTACTGCAGCATTTTTATACCTAAAGGTCATTTGTTTGTCCGCATTTATTATGTATATAATGGAAGCATATATAATTCTCAACACAACATATTGTAAATATGTGTACAAACATATATAATGATATTTTCAAAAGCTGTTTCAGTTTAGAAGCACCTATACAATTGTGAAAGTAAATTTCACCAAATTAAACACTAAATTGGAATGCTCTATAAGGTAAGTAAAGACAGATTGTTCTAGGATCAATATTTATCTCATAATGAGGGAGCGTGCTTTCCTTAGAAAGCAACAGCAGTGTGTATCCATATTTTCCTTTAGTGTTAAGAAGCTCGGAAAGAATTTTTGTGTTGACTTATAATAGATTTTCTTATTCAACCATGTTTTATACACAATTTTTCCCTCTACCTCCCCATTTAACTTTTAGCTACCATTCTCTATTAATGAGTATTTATCTACACTTTACTGTAATCTATTTCATAATACTTTACAAGTGAAGAGATAGAAATATGATCTATATTTATTAGTATGATCAATTAACTTTAATTTGTGAATTTATATTTGTTTTTTTTGTTTTGATTAAACTTAGAAAAGGCTCACCTGTCAATTTTCTTTTACAAATCACACCTGGTATAAAGCTCTCCTTGCTACTCCATACACTTTAGAAAAAGTTTCAAAATCCTTAGTATGTAATTCAGATACATTACAATTTAATCTAATGTTTCTTTCATCCTCCACACTCGCTTTATGATCCATCCATACCAAACTATTCCCTATTCCTTGAAGAGCCACCCTATTTTTATTGTGGCTCGCTTTGCCTTATATGCCCTTTACTCATCAAAAAAATTCTTACTTCTGTTTCAAACCTAAATGACATCTCCCATTTGGTACTACTTATGTTTCACTGAACTTTTATTCAGATTTCTGTCATACTTCTTAGCTTAGAATGTCATTTCAAAGTCAAAAGAAGAAACTTGAGCTCATGTGATGTAATGAATAGGAACTGAACAGGTAGAGCAGCTGTAAGGCAATGGCTGGAGAGAACCCATAGACATGGAAATCCCAGTAGCCAACACTCAAGAGACGACACAGTCTAGTCTAAGTGTAAGAAGCAGTTTGAGAATACAAAGGAAAGATAGTTTGGGTCAGAGCATGTACACTGTGAGTGCAGCATTAAGAGGTGGGTTTGATCCTATAGTAAATGGACTTGGGGTTTTGACTAGAGAATTTATACGAAAATGCTGTTTGAGGAAGTTGTGAGTCCTTTTCTTACAGCAGAAATTCATGGTTTATGTCATGGTTTCTTTTGAGAACTTGTCCTAAATAAAGTTATCACTAATGTATCTTGTTTTATAATTGTTTAGAATGAAGTCAGATTCTTTTCTTCAGGAAATGCCAAATGTAATTCATATGCCTCACAGAGACCACATGATCACTGATGGCCAGGGCATTCTTCCAATCGATTTAGAAAAAGAAAAGCAGAAAAATACAAAGAATCTGAGCTGTTCCAATGTGCTGCAAAACAATTCTATGAAAAAATGTGAATTTGATACAACTGATCTGCAAAGAAATGAAATTCCACCAGTTCCTCCTCCAAGAAGCACATCTCGAAATTTTCCCAGCTCATATTCTGAACAAGCTCGGGAAAGTTTGAAGGAAAGTTTAGAACACAACAGCCACGTGGCCCAAGAGGGACAAGGTGAAAGGGACTGCAGTCCTGATTTCCTTTTGAGGCACAAGGAGATGCCTATGCTGTGTCTAAATGAAAGGAAGACTTTGAAAGATGGTACCATGTTCCCTTCATTGGCACCCAAAACCAAAATAGATAACCAGCATGCATGTGATGAAAATGTTGGACTTAGCATGTGGTCATATGACACAGGGATCAGTGCAAAAAATAGTCCCTCTACATTGTGGTTTCAGAAAACGTGCTTTACTCCCAAAAAGGCAAAATGTGAAAAGGTGATTCCAGATCATCCTGCTAAATCTCATCCTCTTCTTCGTGTAAGCAGTGACTATAGCTCCTCAGCGACAGAGAGCAATGGGTCACTTAGAAGTTTCGGTTGTGGCTTTAAGAGGACAACTAGGAATGAAAAGCTGGCAGCAAAGACTGATGAATTTAACAGAATTGTATTTAGAACAGATAGAAATTGTCAGGCAATACAGCAAAATCAAAGCTACTCAGAATCATCTGAAGATCTTAAGTCCTGTGATACCTTAATTACTCATACAGGTAACATATCAGAAAATGACAATGTGTCTGATGTTCTGAAAACTAGTGCCCACGTGCCCATGCCCAGAGAAAATGTGCCTGATAATCCCACCAAAAAAACCACAACAGGTCTCATCAGACAAATGCAGGAACACATGAGTCCTAGCAGTTATCGGAGTATGCTCCAAGAGCATGACTGGAGACCAAGTAATTTGTCTGGCCGGCCAAGATCAGCTGATCCTAGGTCAAATTATGGTGTTGTGGAAAAGCTGCTGAAAACCTATGAGACGTCAACAGGGCCCACACTGCAAAATTCTCAATGCTTCCAGGATAATTGGACCAGATGTAATTCTGATGTCAGTGGTGGGTCCACATTAAGTCAGCATTTAGAAATACTTCAATTAGAACAAGAGCTTCAGCAAAAGACAACTATGTGTGGAGCACAGCAAGTTAAACGACGAGCAGATTGGAAAAAGGTAACAGAGGTGAGAAAGCCATTAACATATGTTGGTAGAACTGTGTCCATATTAAACAGTGGCTCAAAGCTCAGTCAACTGCCCATTTATATAAATAGAATGTAGGCAAATACTCTGGCATCTTCTTAACTTCTCAACCCTTTACTTTTGAATAAGTATAAACCTTAGGACTGTAACTCAACACGAACTTCTTAAAATACAGTTTTTAAGATTGGGAATAGTCTTAAATGCTCATGGATTGGTTTACAGAATTTTATTCTTCTAAAGTTTTTATATTTTTAACAAAACAGTATTGCAAATATTTTTCAAATAACTTTTCACTTACTGGCTATGATTGGTTCAGTCATTGCCAGCATTTGATTTATCTTCCTTCTCATGGGATTAGTCACATGAATGTGACTATGGGTATAACACATCATAAAACAGTGCCTCATAAAATTTTCTTTTTTGTGGAGCAGAAAGGCAGTACATGTAAATAAAATGATATTATAACTTAAAAACTTTTAAGGTCATTCTTATTTGTGTAAATCCTTACCATGAAAATTGCTCCCCCAAAATAAGTATTTAAATGAACTGTTATTCTATCTTTGTTCCAGTTTGTTTGCAAAAGAATATATTCCTTGTTAGGTATAGGAGAAAAAGTGGTTGAAAAGATTTGTATTTATAAAAATGAGCTCTCCAATAGTCCCTTTTTATGCATAATTTACAAAAAGTTACATGGTGACATACATATTGTTTTCATTCACTAATGCTTTGAAAAATTCTAGTTTCGCAAAGTGCAGTGTATATGCAGTATAGTTTTAAGCTATGCAGGTTGCCTACTTCTGGTGTAAAAAATTATTTTTATATGGCTTTCAAACCCATAAAAATATCAGTTTGGGGGCGCCTGAGTGGTTCAGTTGATTAACCGTCTGACTCTTGATCTCACCTCAGGTCTTGATCTTAGGGTGGTGAGCTCAAAAATAAAAATAAAAATAAAACATTTAAAAATAAAAATAAAATAAATAAATAAAAATATTAGTTTTTATCTATTTTGTCAGAAACCTTGCCCGTTTGTACAAAGTACAAATAATTACCCTGCTTTTGTATTTCTCTGTGTTTTAGTTGAGCCCATAAATACCTGGAAAGCCCGATAGCTTCAGATGGCAAATGGAAACATGTATAAAATAACTAGCCAAATATTCATCCACTACATTTTTGCACTGGTTCAGAATTTGGGAGGAGTCCTATAGTATAGATTCTTAAGAGTAGTTCTTCATTCCCACCTCCACCCTGCTGCTGGAGGAAACCTGAAAAAAAAAAAAAAAAAAAGATTCCAAAGAGAGAAAAAGGAAATGCAGATTATTGTATAGAAATAGAGGCCCTCCTCACTACCCATCTCAGCTGAAAGAACTCAGGCTTTGTTAAGAAGCTCAGTAATATTACTTTGGTATAAAATGTGTCATGGAAGCTGTAAAAAAAATTTTTTTTAAATGTTTATTCATTTTAGAGAGAGAGAACGCCAGTGGAGGAATAGCAGAGAGAGAGAGGGACAGAGAATCCCAAGCAGGCTCTGCAACCCCAGTGCAGGGCTCAAACTCACAAACTGAGAGATCATGACCTGAGTTGAAGCTGGCTGGACACTTAACTGAGTGAGCCACCCAGGCACCCTTTTGAACTTTTTAAAATTTTTAAAAAATAATTTTGAAAAATTTTAATGTTTATTTTTGAGAGAGAGACAAAATGTGAGTGGGGGACGGGTAGAGAGAGGGGGAGACACAGAATCCAAAGCAGGCTCCAGGCTGAGCTGTCAACACAGAGCCTGACATGCGGCTCGAAACCAGAAACTGCAAGATCATGACCTGAGCTGATGTCTGACACTTAACCGACTGAGGCACCCAGGCACTTGAATTTGTTTTAATTGCAAGGGTCTAAGAATGTTTTTCTGCCATTAAAATAGAAAGGAAGAAATGAAAGAAAAGAAAGGGAAGGGAAGGAAATGGTTTAAGTCATCAGATAATGTCCAATATATTGATTGTTTATTAGCATTTACAATAAAATTATAGTTTAAAATATTTTAATGATAATTTTGAAACTTGAGAAATAGTAATAGCAGCTCTTGGTAAAAAGCATCAATGTGTGCCTTTTGCTTATGATTTCTGAAAGTGCCAAAAACTTGACATAAATGAGCACAGTTTCTCCTATAAATTATTATCTTACATCCTAATACCCCTCTAAGAAACATTTAGGGCTCCATCATCAAATTTGTCTAACATAAGCTTTTGAATCCTGAACTCTTCATTGTAAAAAGAGATCAGTTGTATTAAAATTTGGCAATGTAAAAAGATCTACAAGATTATCAAATGTCATATTCCATATTAAAAGTGAGTTGCTTTAATTAAAACATTAAAGACCACAGGAGTGTCTGGGTGGCTCCGTCAGTTGAGTGTCCAACTTCAGCTCAGGTCATGATCTCATGGTCAATGAATTCAAGCCCCGCGTCAGGCTCTGTACTGACAGCTCAGAGCCTGGAGCCTGCTTTGAATTCTGTCTTCTTCTCTCTCTGCCCCTCTCCTGCTCACGTTCTGTCCTCTCTGTCTCTCAAAAATGAATAAACGTTAAAATTTTGTTTTAAAAAAAGCAAAAACGTTTAAGGCCACAAATATTAGACAATTGCCTTCTTTAGTTATTGATGCTTTTACTTGCTTATAAAAATGCTAACACATTAACCCTGTAGTTGGGATCCGTAACACAGTAAGCCTATTGTTGGTGCTTGTATAGTGAGATAAATGTCTTCCTTTGTCTCTTAGGAATCCATGGCAATGAAATCTTCACCTGGAAAAGGATTTTCCCGACCTGCTAGACCAGCAAATCGCCGTCTCCCATCCAGATGGGCCTCAAGATCTCCATCGGCGCCCCCCGCCTTGCGGAGAACTGCCCCCAGCTATACCATTTCTCTGCAATCTGCAGCATCGATGGTCTGAGTCTCTGGCCTGGATTGCTAGATGACAAAAGTCCTAATTGCCAAACAGAGCATTCCAAGTGTTTACAGCCAATCCGGTCTCTTCTCTGTCTTTCAAGATCACTGGGACAGACAGTTTAAATCTTAACTTCCCATCAGTCTTCAGTGTTTTTAATCTATGGAATAATTATCTTCCTGTATTTTGATTTCTTAGATCAGAATTTTTTGATGCCATCTTCATTAATTTGCCAATATGATTTAAGTTGAAACAGTGTACTATATTGTATATTCTAACTTTCTTGCAAGTGGCAGAAAACAAGGTTATGTGCATGGCTATGTGTTTGTAGGTGCATGTGTTGAAATAGGAAGTATCCTAGTATGTACTTCGATAGGAAACCATTCTGTGCTAGTGTTGACTTTGAAATTATAATATGTATACCTATATATTCTTTGTGTTTATTTAAAATTTTTGAAAATATACAGTACTATTTCTATTTTGTATACCTTTTAATAGGTATCCACTTAAGGCATTTGAGGCACATATATAAACTAACCACTTTCGTGGTCCCAACTACATTAAAAAATAAGAATTATACACATTAATAACACTTGGTAGATTTCTATATACAACTCATAAATAGTTTCTTAACCAATGTAAGGATGGACTAATACCATTGATCTTCTTGTTTATTCTCTTAAATAAATAAAATTGTCACAGGTTTAATAGACCAGCCTTCTAAAGCAAACATAAAATGTTCACAAAATCTTTTGTATGTCATTTGGTAGTCTATTATGGCTTTAACCATATACTTGATCCCCAGAGCCATATCATGAGACTGCCTTAGAAATAACAGAACTTAAAAATGAACTTATTTTATCAACTTCAATGACAAATAATCCTTAAATAGGATATGAAAATAAATTCAGTTATGTTAAATTCTACTTTTTTGTTAAATTGTAGTAAGCTGTTAGTTAAGCTCCTTTATTTGAAGTCATATTTAGAGGTAAGTCATTTCCTTTTTCTTTTTTCTAACTTTCTCTAAAATTAGTAGGTGAAAAATTAATTCACTTTTTTATTAACAGGGAAGATTAGAAATGATATTTCACTGAGAGCTGAATTATAATATATTTCTTATAGAGTGCTACATTTTTTAAAAAAGCCTTAAACTAAACTTTGGCATCCATGAGTAGCATAAGGAACAGAAATGTGTATTTTGGCCACAGTTTACATACAGTGAACATGTAAGATCTATGTTGAGAACTGAAAGAAGTATGAATGTTGAGGTGGTTGGAATTCTACATGGACAATCGTAGAGCAACTTCGCTCTCTATTGTCTCTCTATAAAACCAACTTTGTTATTATATACAACTTCTATGTAAGCTTTTCTTTTACTACCAAAAAGGTTAAGAAATTCTTGCCACATAAGCATTCAGTAACCTTCTTATGATATATTCTAACAATTAAGAGAAATTCATTTCATTATACATCATGACTTGAGGTAAAGTAAATAATTTCCAAATCCCAGACTGCCTTAAAATGCTCAAGACTATTGCTTGGTGATGGACAGATTTGTACTTTCCAGTAAGGAGAGTTTATAGGAGTTGAGCTGAATTAAACTTCTAGAATGTGAAGATGGAGCAGATGGTAAGTAAGGGCTACAGATCCACTCATTTTTGGAATAGTTTGAGAAGAATAGAAACTTTTCTTTAGGTTTTGGTAAAATTCGCCTGTGAAACCATTTGGCCCTGGACTTTTGTTTGTTGCAAGTTTTGGGTTACTAATTCAATTTCTTTGTTGATCATTGATCTGTCCAAATTTTCTCTTTCTTCCTGTTTAAGGTTTGGTAGGTTGTTTCTAGGAATTTATCGCTTTTTTCTAGGTTGTCCAATTTGTTGACATACAGTTTTTCTTATAACTGTTTATACTTCTGTGGTTGGTGTTTAGATCCACTCTTTTAATTCTTGTTTCTTTCAGGAGTATCCTTTTCCATAGGAAACCTATCAGAGACAAGTAACCTAGATGCCAACTGATGTCACTTATGTTGTGTGCTTTTCATCTAGAAGAGGAGAAACACTAGGGCAATGGTAGCCTATGGCATACAATGATTGGCCTGCTAGGAAGATGCTGCTATTGCTACAGTGGAAAGGCTGCCCAAGAACAGGGCAACCTTCTTGCCCCTCCATCACTGTATCCCAGGCAGTCTGATGTGGATCTGTAGTTAAAGTTGAATATTGAGGATCACGTTAAAAAAAGAAATAGATTCCTGACCTCGTCCCATATTTACTAGAGCAGAATTTCCAGGGGTGCAGAGTCGGAATCTGGAGTCTTTAATAAAACAATAACAACAGCACCAACAAGAAAGCAAAATATTTGATGATTAGAGAGATTTGGAAGCAGTGGCATTGATGCTCAAATAGATGGGCACCATTTGGTAGTCACGTTACTTCCCTGGGATTTGCTTTTGTTACCTGTAAAAGAAAATGATTATATTATCAGGCATACAATTTTAAACCACTGTTTCTACTACCATTTGAATGAAGCAATGGGACATATTTTAACACCTTCCTATGTGGACTAAAAATCATAGAAGAGTAGAATTTAAAAAAAAACCTTAGTATATAGTCCAACTCCTTGATTGTAAAGATAAACAAACTAAAACAAAAATTATTGAAATATTCTGTTTTCTCTTTTAAAATATTTTATAATTTTTTATGAAAAAACCTATCAGGTAAATGGAAATTATCCTTGAAAAATATTTTTTTATGTATTGTGATTTTTAACTGGTAGTTTTTCTACTTTGGATGAACATGTTCTTCCCCACAACATACCCTTCATTATGCTCTCATTGCTAGATTTAAGACATTTGTTAATATTTCAGAACTATTTGATTAGAAATACTTGTGTTAATAGAAATTTTCCTGAGCAGACTCTTGGGGAGAAAACTCTTACATTATTTCAACTGAGGAGTCTGGTCTCAGAGATGAATAAGAACAAGGCAGAAAAAGTGCTTGAGTTTTTGTGCATGTGTGTGAGTGCACACAATCCTTGCACGAGTTCTCTATATTGCCTTATCACCAAAGCCAGATATAAATATATAAATTGTTTGCATAATTCACTTTGTCAAAAATTAACCTTAACTTTCATTTGTCTTTACATAGACAATGAAGATAACCAGATGTTGTCATGCATGATTTAGCTCTACATAGAGGATTTAGCCAGACTCCATGTCATCCTGAGAAAATATCTGGACCTAAAAAAGAACCTGCTTCCCTACAAAGATGTTTAAAATTATTTTTAGGTATAGGTACATTTACTGACAAACAACTACTTGATATTAAAATCCCCTTCAGTATTGGAAGTTATCAAATAAAATAGATATGGAAACACCTGCTGTGGCATGTATATACATTGAGAACATTTTGATTTTCCTCCTTTTCTATAGCAATCTCCAGTAAAGCTGAAAGTTTTATGAAGTCTAAAATCACACTTCAGCCTAGCTTCTCTTAAAATATCTCTACACTGGGGCGCCTGAGTAGTTCAGTTGGTTAAGCGTCCAACTTCGGCTTAGGTCATGATCTCACAGTTTGTGGGTTCAAGCCCCGCGTCCAGCTCTTGTGCTGACAGCCAGCTCAGAGCCTGAAGCCTGTTTCAGATTCTGTATCTCCCTCTCTTTCTGACCCTCCCCTGCTCACTCGGTCTCTCTCTCTCTCCCAGAAATGAATAAAACATTAAAAAAATATATCTCTACATAATACAATCTAAAAGCCACTCCGGTATGAATTCCTGCACCTGGCCATACATAACCCCGTATAATTTTTTACACCTGACATCCACTCTGCCCATTTAACCACTTACTGAATTCTTGTTTAAACAAGATTACTCTTTTGATATTTGCCTTTACATGTGAAATTAGTTTAATTATCTTTAGGCAGTTTCAGACTTCTATTATAGTACTATTTTGCTTCAATTCTGCATGTCTTCTTAAGTAGCAAGTATTGTTCTTAGAATTTATGACATGTTTAATATAGCCCATAATATGCTCTTTCAAAAAATGGACTTCATAAAGTAAAAAAATTAAAACAAAACAACAAAAAAAAGTTGGTGGGGGCAGCTTTCAGGAAAGTGTGTACTCAACATTTTTTACTGTAGGAATTTTTCTTCTCATAGAAAATAATTTTGGAAAAAAACCAACAGATTTAAAATCTGATACATATTGCAATGATCTTATTAAGCCAACATGTAACATTGGCAAATTCTGAAAAATAATATGCTTATATAAAGCTGTGATGTAATCTAGAAATTAAGGAAGAGTCTAGAATGGGAAGGACCGTAAAAGTCACGCAGAACAATCTCATGGAGAGGGGAGAAACTTGAAACTCAGAGCTGTCTGTGTGCTTGCCAAGGTTATCAGGATAGGCAGCAAGCTGGGCTCCAACACCCATGTCCTGCCTCCCTGTACAGCTATGTGCTTCTATGAGTTGACAGTTTGCAAAGCACATTTCTATCCTTTGGCTTGTTTACTTCTTACAACAAACTTCAGGCTGGCCTCTGTGATTTCTTTCTAATTACAGAGGGAGAAACTAAATAATGAAGATAATAGAATAACATTTCCCAAGATAATACTGACAAATATATAGGTGGTTGTCCAGACTCCTAATTAAGGCTCTAAAATAAAAAAAAGAAGAAGAGGGAGCAAAGAATGACGCTTCTTTTTCACTTATGTTTTATGCATGAAACAAATTGCTTATTTTGTTTGCAAAGCAAATTTGCAAAACAAATGGCTTATTTTGCTTTCACTGGGAGTTTCTCTTAATTTTGCCTTTCAATTTTCTTAACCAAAGTTCATCATTCATGATTTATATGGTTTCAGTGGTTTCAAGAGTTAGTATTAAAGAAGTCATGAAGAAGGCTCACTTTATCAAAATATTTTTTCATTTTTTGATGCCTATCCTCTGATATCGTATAAGTTTTTTATGTGGGCCAAAATGTTGAAGGTAAACTAATAAGTAGCGAAAGCAATCCTCATCTATAGTACCAAGTGAATCCTGATCTCCTCAACCTTCAAAGGAATCATGGAAAATTTTCATACTATATGACTTAAATGTACTCCAAAGTGAATGAGAACATTTCCCTTGAAGCTTGCAGTTATTTCCAATTTATAATCTTACTCTGAAATAAATTATATCTGCCAATTTCATTTTGAGGCTTTATTCTCTAAGTAAATTATTTACTTATGTAATTTTATAAAAATCATTAAACAAATTCAATCCAGCTATTTGGGATCTGCAGATTTTTTTTTCTATATAATGCCGTTCAGCCTCAAAATAATGCCAAATTATCTAACCTGAATTATGTATATTTTTTAATTTTTGCACAAAATTTTACATTAAAGTTAACCTACTAAAAGATTCTCTGAATTAATGATATCTGGGGTGAAATAGTCAATTTACAATGAAAGCCAGAGAACTATTTATAACTTTTTTTTAAAGAGTCACATGTCGGAGTAAAAGTGGGCAATAGTCTCCATCTGCTAAAATTCAGGAGGTAAATTATTGGGAATACAGATTCTTCCTAGGAGATCCCAGGCAAGGAGAGGGGAGCTGAGACTAAGCGTGTCACCTTGTTAAAAAAGAAGCTGGTCATGGTGTAGCCCAGGGAGCCAAAACTATATGACTTACTGAACTCAGCAAAAGCAAGCACTAGACTTTCCCAGACAAACAAATCGAGGACCTGGAGAAAACTCAACATCAAAGACGCCAATGTGGACCATGGTTCAGATTCAAGCAAGTGGTCATCTACAAGGAGATTCTTCATAAAGCAGCTAAAACCCGAAACTGATGCTTGAGCCAAGGTAGGAATGAAGTGACTCTGGAAGGAAATTGTCAAAAGCAAGACGCTAGATCAAAGAGCTTTGTCCTGGGGACCAACGTGTAGGAAAGTGAAAATATGCAGCTAGAGGTAGAGAGGGGGTGTTTCCATTGGAAATAGAATGGAGAGGTCTTCACCGGTGCACCACATCTTTACTGAAGTTGGGAGTTAAGGAGACTTGGATAGCAAGTTAAGGACCCATTAACTGCTAGCAGGCAACTAGCAGTGTAATCACTGCAGAGCTGAAATAAATGGAGTTTCGGTGCATCTTGAGCTCTCATTCGGAATATTTTTAGGAACTAGAATTGATAGGAGGCCATCAGAAGACCTCACACTATAAGGGATTTAAAAAGACAGGTAAAGATGATTACGGGTAGACTAATATTCTTTTCTCTCCACCTTTGCTTTATTGTTTTCTTGTGACTGTATCAGCAGAATCTAAAAATTTTATCTAGATAATCTGATAAAATAAGCCACTTATACCTTCACATAATA